TTATACGAACGGCGTGGGGAAGTGGATGAAAAATAAAACAAACAAACTCAAAAACAAATGAAACCCACATAAGGCAAAATAGTCTCTGAGATCTAGGTGATCGTGCGAACGGACAGACGGTCTAGATCGACTCGTCATGCTGATAAAGAATAGTATATACACAGGTCAAAATTTTAAATCGTCCACCTGGGACGAAAATCAACTTTGGGTTATATTTTGAAGAGGAAATTGATAATTAACGGAATGTATATATTTGAAAATTGTCCAATATACTATATGGCTTACCTACAATTGGCGTTTGAATAATTAAAGCCAAATTTGACAACCAAAAAATAAATCCACATGTACAAAGTATAAAAATGTATGAAAAGCTTTTTCTGTGGCTTTAGGTGGAGGCTTCGACAATGCACAAGATCGACTTATATTTGGGAAAAACAATTTTAAAAGACTTATTTATTTTGTTGAGTTTGTATGCGGCTAATTAAAAATCGTACCAGCTGCCTATACTCCAAAAAAACGTGTTAATCTACAACAGTAACATATTTGGGAAACATGTTGCAGCTCATAAAAAATCAAGTGCGTTTTCAATTTGATAAGTAGTTATACTATAAGTAGTATTTTATATTGATTTGGAGCAATCATAGCCAGCTAACTATGTAGAATAAAGTTCAAAGCTGATATGACCCAAATGAGCATAAACAGACAAGTTCAAGGCCTGAAGGTAAAATAAAGCGGCTGCCTACAAAGGGAACAAAGCCCACAATCACTGAATCGACGCAGCGAACATCGACGCACACAAATTACTGCAATTGGAAAGAAAATCATGAAAATCAAATCATTAGCGCTAATCGGTGTGCTTTGTGCGTGCCCCGAACTCAGTAACATGGCAGAGCGAGCCTATCGGTATCGGTATCGCAAAGAGCATGGCCTGCTGGCTCTTTGGCCTTCTGCCAAGCCATAGACAATGTTTCCATCGTAGTTCGGGGCATGGCATCCAACACAGGCTTCTGTGTAGGCCCCGAGCTAACAGGGAATGAGTGTTGCAACGCCATGGCCTGTCCCGGCAAACGGATCTGGGGAGGGTGGACGGACGGACGGACGGAGGAGGGGAGCCAAAACTGATTGTGATGTAGCTGCCGAAACAATTTTCATATGAGTTTGAGGCACGCTTTTGTAGCAAAGAGGAAATCACTTTAAAGCTCACATCAATGGATGGGCGTTCAATGAATGAACGAATTTGGTGAACATGCTTTTCCATTTAACCAAAACTTGTCAGGCTGTGAGTTATATTATATTTACTTAAAATATAAATAAAAACGTGAATTCGGAGCATAAATAGATGAATATCGACTCACTGACTATTAGAAATGCATGTGCAGTAGAAACTCGATAGCTTCGACAACCTAAAAATATATATAATAATTATAAAGATTAATAAAAATTTTGAATGTTAAAAATAAAACTAACAATAAGAAAATAACCTAATAATAATAAGCTCAATATAATTAAATTTGTAATGACTAGCGTAATAATTTAAAAGTAATCCAATACTTGTAACTCTAGGATAAGGGTTATAAATAAATAAATAAATAAATAAATTGTAATTGATAGAATTCGGCCATAACACTTTTTTTTTAACTCAGATATCGCAGCATTTCGTTTATTTTCATGGTGCTTTTTTCAGAAACTTTCGAATTTATGATATAGTATAGTATGTATTTGAATGTATTTAATTATTTAAGTAATAAAACAATTTTTATCTGGAGTGCATAAAACATGTTTCAATATAATTATTTAAGAAATAGAAAAAGACTTCGTTGCTGTTCTTAGAAAGAACATAATAGTTTAATTCCTAAAAATTTGCTTTAAATGAATTGGTATCTTAAGTTTCAAGTATGTATGCGCTAAAAATGCGGAACTATTTTAATATTTAATAAAAAAAAACTAAAATTTTTTTACATTTTTTGTTTTCTGTATTTTTATTTTATATAACTCTTTTTACCAACTCTTATAAAGCGCTCTTCTTTTCCTTCTGCCCGCATTGTTGTAGGTTCAAATCACACCATAATATTTTTTTTTATTAAATTTAAACTTCCATTATAGTTTGAAACTGAATTATAGTCCATACAGAATGACGTGTAAATTTAATTTTTAACAAAAGCTCATCTACTTATCCCAATTAATTGAGAATATAAGTTTTTATTTCAATTAAAACTCAAGGTTATTTATAAAAAACAAAACACAGATTAATTTTTAAAAGCAGAACGTGTTTACACTGCATAATACAATATGTAGCCCCCTCTGGCCCCTCTGAGTGCACCTAAGCCCATTTTTGGTAATGGTTCCAAAATGTTTGCCAACACAAAAAAAAAAGCAAAAACAAAAAAATATGAAAAAGGAAACGAGCATTTTGTAAATATTTTCTGTGTACTTTGCAGCAGCAACCATAGACATGGTCAGAGCAAAGACTTTTATTGTAGTTGTTGGTGTTGTTTTAAGCAAATATGATGACGGGCCCAACAAGCTTGGTTGGTCCCGCAGCTTTTGGCTCATTTTGTGCTCGTAAGCATAAATAACGGCATCTGTGTGTTTTGCTTGAAAGGAAAGAGCGGGCGCGCCGCGGCGCGCTGTCCTCATGGTATCGCAATTTGGCAGACAACCGAGTCGAGGCGAGGCGAGCCGAGCCGAGCGACTCTACAAACGACCCACTGAACGGCCCACCGACCACACACTCACTCATCCATCCATCCATTCGTTCATTCGTTCATTCATTCAATCATTCAAGCTGTCAACCATCAGGCAGTCATTCAAACATTGACGCCAGCTGTGGTGGACCTTTTGTTGTTTTGTTTTTTTGTTTTCTGTGCCATTTTAAAACTGAGCTCAACCGAAACAAATGTGTTTGTTTTTCATTTTCTAGTTTCTTTGCGGCATTCGCCTCCAAAAATACATTGATGATGGCGGCAGCCGTGACAGAGATGGTCGCATATGCGCGTCCTATACTCACCGCCTTCAACTGCTCGTACTGTATTGAGCGGAGCAGGATTGGTGGGAGGATAATAATACGCGACAAAGTTTTGTGGATGAATGAACAACGTCGATAGCTCGACTGCTTTATTTATATATAAATTCTTATCCTAGTTCTTATGCTATCGCCTACATACTATCATCGATTCCTTATCTTCTACCATGTGTGCGTACTTTATCAGGTAGCTCATGTTAGCCAGCCGCAGCATGCTCATCCAGCGCGGTGGCGAGCCTGAGCTAATGATTTGTGTACTTACACATCCTTATCTATTAAGCTGGCGCCTGCCAGCTACGAAAATGTTGGTGTTATGTTCGGCATCTAAGGCCGAACTCATTATTATCTGTATAAGAGAGCATGTCTGTTTATCGAGGTTTTATCTATAACAATATGATAATGTACCATTCGTGGTCTAGACAGAGCAAATCTAGCTTATCAATTAATTTACAATTACTTAGGATCTCGTTAGAATTGAACACGTACATAAGCCTTTTTTAAGTAGTTTTTAATAATGCGCCACACACGCGTAAAAAGGGCAAAGGCTAAGCAAAACCATCAGCAATAATGGAGCTCAAAGGGTGGGCAAGGAGCGGGCAGGAGGTTGGAACATCTGTTACCGCGACACAGAAGTGGAGAGAAGAAAGGTAAAATGCACAATAAATAAAGACGCCAACGTTTGAGGTACACGGCAGCTCTTGGGCATTACATCCTTGCAGCTCCCCAACCAATAGCCAGCAGCCCCCGAACCTCCTCTGCTCCATGGTTCTTATTCAGCGCCTACGCAGCCAGTGCAGAAGATAATCGCTGATTGCCCTCAGTTTCAGTGTTGTTGCTTGGCAAGCAAATAAATTGAATTTAAATGGTTGTCAGCAACAGAAATTAGTTTTTGCTCTGCTCTGCTCGGCCTGGTCCGGCTCGTACAGCAAAAGTATAGAGAATGTATATATAGTATGTCTAGATATACTAGTCTATGTGGAAGCAAAACAGCGGAAATTATGAAAAGAAATAGCTCTTGCAAAGATGAAAAAAATTGAATCGGGAAGCTGGTATGTTCGTAGGCAAGCCTTAATTAAAAGATGACATAAGCCGATTGCCGCGATATTTCAATAATATTAATTTGTCCACAAAGAAATATATAATTAGCCAACATGTTGCTTCCCTTCCTGTCATATGCATTACAATTCGAATTATAATTCGAATCTAGGTGAAAGGCGGCAACTGTATTTGCAAGTTGAAAGAAATAAAGATATTCAGCAAGAACGATTTAAAACATCTTCTAATCGATAAGCTAGCGCAACACAAAAGCAGTTTGTATATTATTTCAATGTATTTGACATAAAAAGCACAATTACCAGCAAATAACAACAATAAACAAATATAAAGAAACTAAAATTTTGTAATTTAAAAAAATTATGAGAAATCTTAGTCAAGGCTGGGAGTTGAATCCTCACCTTTACAAAGATTTACATTAAATTTTTGGTTTTCGGCATAAAAATAAATGTAGACTCTGCAGCTTACAGTGTAAAATGTTTTTGATGTATATACACGTGTAAGCAATATATTGTATGTTCATAAGAAAAAAGCTTGTCTTTTTTAAAGGTCAAAGCATTAGCAAAAGAAACTAAGGGCAAGTGAATAATAATAAGTGAAAGAACGATCTTTATAAAGACTATTTTGCATATTTTGATGACCAAAACCACTTAAATATACCTTGGATAATAAATAAATCGAATGGAATTCCCTCAGAAAAAATATGAGCTTAAAAGTCAAAGCTCTTAACTCGAACTAAAAAAAAACAAGTGCAAATTACTATCGTGAATAATAGCAAGCGAAAGAACGATCTTCATTAAGACTATTTTGTATATTTTAATCAACAAAACCACTTACATATCCCTTGGAAATAATAAAAATTCGAAATCGAATCATGCAATATGTTGTCAGTGCATTCCTAGATCAAGAGAAATAAAGCGTTTCGTGGGTTTGTTTTAGTACAAAATTGTTTTTATTGTTGCACCACGGATTTAGCTGGTACCCCTTTAATTCGTCAGTCTAGTCTGGTTCAGCATTTCTGCATCCGCCAGTTAACAGCAAGGACCACAAGGTCCTCCACAGCAGTCTGGGGGGCAGGTTGTCGTACAGAATGGGCCACAGCAGTCAGATTTGAAACAGCAGTAGCTGCAATCGATGAGGCAGCACTGGACGCAGGGTGTATCGCGATACCATCGGCTGGGGCAGCACATTTTGGTACTAACTTGTGTTCTCCTCCTAAGCGTCAAGGGTTGGAAAATACTGCAGAAAACATATTTTTGATAGTGAGACAAAATATAAACAATACTATATAGCAAAATACAATACCAATGCGATTTTTCTTTAAAGCAGAACAGCACAAAAGCGAACCGGACTGCTCGAATTTCAAGGGGTAAGTAAAATTGAGAATGTTTTACTAAAAAAATATAAGGGAATGCCTACTAAAGGCTTCAAAAGTTTGTAAACTTTTCAACTATTAATGCAATATTTAAATATGTTTAGTACGCTACAATGTTAAATATCTTTCAGGCAAATATTTTGGACCAAATTTAAAGTTTTTGTTTGAAAAAAGAAAACATTTACTCGCTGTGATAAATATATTCAGCAACTATATTCATCTCCTAAGTCTTAAACTTTACTTGGATTGGTATAAAAAAATCATTTTTATTTTTTTAAATAAATCTTCCTTGGAGCGATTGTACGAAAACTCCATCCTAAATTGTATATTATATTCATGATTTAATTAAGATATAACTGTTCCTAGTTTCTGTAACTTAACAAGGCACACTTCGTTCATTGTTTAAGTTTTGAAAAACTCCTTTTGTTCGTAAATATGAGGTGGAAAATGGCAAGTTGTGCTTGAACCTACGAGTACTGTTTAAAGCTATAGCTATCTTGGAATCTTGAAAAGGACTTGCACTCTGCATGGAGCAACCGCAAACATTCATAGATGGCAACAATGATAATGATGATGGGCACATGCTGAGGCTGCTGATGAGTGAATAATGCGGCAGCACACACGTTGAGTGCCAGCTAACATATGAGCATCATATATTTTGACAAAAGCTGCCAGAGTCTGCCACAACGTGCGCGGAGTGGCGAAGAGTATAGTGGAGCGAAGGCAGCAGTCCTTGCCGCAGACACTGTCATGAATTTTACTACAACTAGTGACAGAGACAGACCCACATACGAGTACAGCCATTTGCCTAAGCTTCATATAAATATAAATAAATTTATAATGGGTACGCCAGGTAGCGCTTGTCCAACAACTGAAGTGGGTACGTATACACATGTATTATATTATATACTTGTAGTGTCCTAACTTGACAATGGCAGCCAAGGCCCGGTGCTTGTTTAAGGATGTTTATTAAGTCTTCTACCGCCGCATAAAAGTATTTTAATGTACAACTTATATTAAGCAAGAGCCGTTGCAGCTATTCACCAGAGAGTTCTCCCTTCTCACCTCTGACCAAATATTATTTTAGGGCAAATTTACATTTTACGAATGAACGAATGCGTCCCATTTAAAAACTTCAAAGTTCGCATGCAGGTATTTAATTTATGTGACAACCAGACGTATGCGACATATTTGCACATGATGAGCACCCAGCATGGATATGATATATATTATATATAGTGTATATAAAAAACTGTGCCACAGGTGCATGGAATTCCACTACAGCGGTAATGAATTTTGTAAATATGAAATGTAAATGCAATGAATTGTAAATAATGCAAAAAATGCGTATGACAAAACAAATTTCATTCTTTGTTATTTTTTCAATCTACTTTTGAAAAAATGCGGGGTGCACTAAATCGATATGAGTCTGTCATAAATTTGCAGATATACCAAATACTTGTGATATGACATGACACAGCTGCTTTAATTCATTGCAGAAGGCTTACAAATGTGACACATGACGATGAAAAATATTTTAAAAATTACAATTTGACTTTATATTTTTTAAAAATCGAAAACAGAGAAGTACGATAAAACATTGAATTAATTTGGGTTCTTCGAATGAATTTTTAACTTTTTTGAAATGTTTTTGCTCTGAGATAATTAAAAAAACATATGTCAGCAAAATCATCAGAACTGACGTGGGTTATCAAACCTACACATGAATCACACGCCAAGGGTTTATATTATCATCTACCGTGGACAGAGTAGGCTTTGATTCGAGTCTTTCATTCGAATCACTACACCACTTAAAGTTACGAATATAATAAAAGTACTTAGAAGTCTTAAATTCCTGTAAGTGTGGTCTCTTATAATATACCAAATGTAAAACTGTCGCATTATGACCAAAGCTGCAGGGCCAATTCGCAATACAATAATTAATAATAAAAAGAAGAAACACATTAAAAATATTGTTATTCAATGCAAGAAAATTGTGTGATTAAATTGTTATTGTTCACCTAACATGCAAATGAAAATTGTGTTTTAATCTCTATTTTTTATTGTCTTTAACTTTAATGGAGCCACTTTGTAATTTAACTTTATACTAGTATTTATATTTCAATTGCGTCCATTATATATGCCCAAGTGTCCATTTTAAATAATACAGCTTAATTGCCGTTAGTAAATTACCAAATTTATTAGCTTAATGCGCTCACACACGTGTCCATTCACATATGCACAATGTATTGTGACACGTTGCCTAACAAAATGTCAATAGGCGATGGCTTTTGTTTGCTTAAAAGCAAAACATAAATTAATTATGCGCAAAATTTATTAATTGTCAGAAACAATTGAACGTAGACCCCCATAATTACAGCAACAGCGACAACAACAACAACAACAATGACAGCGTAAATAACATGCATATGTGCCCAAGCCTTAAACATTTGTACATATACATACATATACTCGTATGCATGTATATGTACGTACTAATGGCTATACACCTTTGTCGGTGGGTGTGTGAAATCAATTATGCACAAAGTCAATTTTAACGGAATGACAAATTTAATTCAATTGACTGGCACGTACACGTATCTTTAAGCGCGAGGTGGGCGTCTGTATTTCTAATCAATTTTTATTGGAAACAAATTCCAAACATCAATATTTACACATCAATTATAACATTTTTTGTTCGATTGTATAAACGAAATTGTTATTTATGTAAAAAACACATGAAATTGTTGCCTGCTTTATTTATTTAATTAAATATATGTGATCTTATTTCAAACAAATATCATTAGAGGTCATTAAATAATGAAAATAGAATATACATATAATACGTAGCTGCTCTGTTATAAAGCCATTGGATTGATGCAACATTTAACCATCGAAAATACATTTTCTTTACAGCCTTTTCGACTACCAAAAACGCCAAAATAATCCGACTTATAGCGCTGATTTAAGCCCAATTGATTTAGTTTTATTTCTGCTGAAAAACTTCTGAAGTAATAATGTTTTAAATTTTGATTCAAAGGTCTTGTAAAGAAAATGTTCCTATTCAAATTATGGGTCCCATACCTGACTCAAAAAGTTCTTTAATAAAGTACATAATAGTTATAAGACAATTTGATTTTCCGATCCTCCTTTTCTCTGGTTGTTAATGACAATAACTGTTGCGAAACCATCGAAAATACATTATTCCTTACAGCCCTTTCGACTGCCAAAAATGTCAAACTAATTCGACTTATCGAACTGACTTAAGCCCAATTGACTTAGTTTAGGATTTTAAGAAAAGTTTTTCAAATTATGGGTCCCATACCTGCATCATAAAGTTCTTTAATAATGTACAGATTAATTATAGGACAATTTGATTTGCCGATCCCCCCTTTCTCTGGTATAACAATAACTGTTGCTCTCCGTAGGCGAGTCTGAAGTCTTTAACTCTTTCCCCACAAAGTATGCAACACTTTTTGCTCAGCAGACAACTAGCTACGGAGTCGTTGAAGTTGCTAGCCAAACACAATTACGGGACAGTTTTTGGCCTTAAATGGTGTTTGCACTTAAGCCATCAGATTCGGGTGTTAGGCTAACAACATATTTGGCAATGACTCCTTTGGCATTTTTTTGCCACATTCAGCTGAGTGTTGGTTTCATTTTTTTGCATTTTTGCACAAAATCGGCCGGAAAAGCCAAAGGCAATGGCAGAAGCAAAAGCAAAAGCAAAGGAAAATAAAGAAAAAGCGCAGCACTCAGCTTAAAAATTTGTGTCGTTAGGCGTGGTATTCATACCCCTACGTCCGAATGTCTGCTGGCCCCTTCTTGTTCCAGTATACTACATTCAAAGTTGCTGTTGACGTTGATGGTTGGCCGCCAACGCCAAAGTTACCATTTGAGGGCGCACATCTTCATGTCCCGATGTGTTCTCGTTGTCCTTCCTTACGGCGTCCATCTGTCCAGCCGTACTTTTGTCTATTTATATGGGTGTGTGAAAGTGTGCGAGTGTGTAAGTGTGCTTGTCAACTCAACTCATGCAACTCGGAAAACTCATCAACATTCAACGTTATTGTCACTGAAAAATACACACAATTATCGTTACAAATTGCTGTTAACTCTCACTTGCTTTCTCTCGAGCGTCTCCTCGACAAGTCTGGTTGTTGCTAGCTGCTGTGTTTGTTGTCGTTGTTGTTGTTGGTGTCGGCGTTGGCGTTGGCGCACCCATTTACTTGCTAGCCTCTGTATTGGTGTCAATGGAAAGTGCTATTGAAAGTGTTACGGCGCATGAATGGGACGTTAATACAGATGCACAGTAACAAGCAACAAACAGAAATACACAACACATGCAAACAAAGCTAAAATAAATAAGTGTGTCGGAAGCTGCCTTTAAGGCATGCGGATTGCACATTGTTCCCCATGATACCAATGGTTGTTGCTCCTGATGATGTTGTTGTTTATCTGCAATGCCTTTTACAATTGAAAACGGATGCCTGCTTATACACACATACAATTTTCACTCCCTAAGAGGTGTTAAAAAAAGAAAGAATTCCTATCAATTCGCTAAGCCACTGCTACTTTTTAAATTTAAGACAGCTGCTCCTGTGAATTATTTAAATGATCACATAATATATGTAACACTTTGTAGGTAAGGTACTAACTAATTATAAGCCTTAATAAAAATTAGGTGTTGGAAAGCTTAAATAAATGTTATTGGAGTTTCGAGATGTTTTCTTCTACTTGATATTCATTTCAATATGATGGCCAACTGTTAAATTGAAATGAAACTGGTTACGCTAATGCCTCACTGCCTCACTCACTCACACACCCACTACATATAGGTTCATTATTCAAAGTGATGCTTTATTTATTTAACGATCACTGTAACACAAAATGGCGCCTCAATACAAGCGTAGAAAAAATATCAAGCTCAACACATACACACACTTTGAGCCTTTAGTGCACGGTCATTGCAAGCTGCTACCTAATGAGTTCATTCGACTTTATGGGCAGTACAAGTAAGT